ATTTTGTGGCTCTTTATGATGGTACCACGAGCCGTCGCTCATTGATCGATCGTAGGCTTCTGGTCCCTACCTTGGGGGTAGACTCGTAGGAGCGAGTGAAAGTAGGAGGGAGCTGAGCCAGTGGTCGATCTGTAAGCAAGTGTCAGCGCCTTGAACTTGATGCGAGCAGCGAGTGGTAGCCAGTGCAGAAAGATAAACAGAGGAGTGACGTGGGCCCTTTTGGGCTTGTTGAAGACAAGACGAGCAGCAGCATTCTGGATCATCTGTAGAGGTTTAGTTGCACATGATGGAAGTCCAGTTACAGTAATCAAGCCTAGAAATGACCAGGGCCTGGACGAGAAGTTGTGTTGCATGCTCAGTTAGGAAAGGCCTGATCTTCCTGATGTTGTGCATTGCAAACCTGCATGATCGAGCTGTCTTTGTAATGTGGTCTGTGAAGGTCAGCTGGTCATCAAAGATTACTCCAAGATTTCTGACGGTCCTTGATGGAGTGATTGAGGAAGAATCTAGCTGGATAGTGAAGTCGTGCTGTAGAGACGGATTTGCAGGGAGGATGAGAAGCTCAGTCTTTGCCAGGTTGAGCTGCAGGTGATGTTCCTTCATCCATGCCGAGATGTCTGCCAGACAGCTTGAGATCCGTACAGCTACTGTGGGATCATCTGGTTGAAATGAGAGGTAGAGCTGTGTGTCATCAGCATAGCAATGGTAAGAGAAACCATGTGCCTGTATGATGGGTCCCAGTGATGTGGTGTAAATGGAGAAGAGGAGGGGTCCAAGAACTGAACCCTGGGGAACCCCTGTGGTCAGTTGATATGCTTTGGATACCTCACCTCTCCATGTGACCCTGAAGGACCTACCTGTGAGATAGGACTCAAACCAGTAGAGGGAAGTTACAGTGATGCCCAGTGATGAGAGGGTGGACAGAAGGATCTGATGATTCACAGTGTCGAAGAAATAATAGACATACAATAGTATTACTATTGTAAGTTGTAATATTGTACTATTGTAATAATAGACATACAATAGACATACAACAAAAAAATACATTCACAGACAATAGAAATAATAGTCATACTTTCTATTTGTATTACTTTCTGCAGTTATTTCCACACATTGTATAGTTCATGAGAATTAATTTCTATATACAAAGAGCGACATGAACCGAAACAAAATATTTCCAGTTGTGGAATTGTACCCATGAAGTTGGTCAGATTTTAAAGATCACCATTATGGAAGCTGTGTGTAGTTTGAAGCCTGACCGGTCAATGTCATTGTTTTGTAGTAAGAGAAGAGGAAATTATATCATGCATTCCAGAGAGCCTCTTCATGTTCCTTCGCTTATTGTTTGGTGGGCAGGGTCTCTTAGAAGTGAATCATGATGATGATGATGATGCTCAAAATAAAAAAAAAGACGACACTCAAAGGTTCTTAGTGTTGCTCAAGACCTAGTGTACAACTTCAGTTGTGGTAAACACTGGACTCCCAGCATATTGGTCTAGCAAGCACATTGCACCAAGCTACCAGATCAAAAGAACTGGTTGAGCTGTTTCACATGGCTGGTCACTTCATAAGCTACAACAACTTAAAACAGGTTGATACAGCTTTGGCTGAAAGCACACTTCGTATAATGGACGTGGATACAGGAGCAGTGGTTCCACCAAACTATGTACCCAACAGATTTGTGCACTTAACATGTGACAATATTGACATCAATGATAGCAGTTTTGATGGTAAAAACAGCTTTCATGCAACTCAAGTCGCTGGATGGCAAACAGGTCCAGAAGCAGTCATGGGACTGAATGATCTCCATCCATCTACAAAGAATAGTCTTCAAATTCCTGATATCATGGAACAACTTTCTCCAGCTGCAGTTGTGACAGGAAAAACAGAACCAGGATCAATTATACAAACCAACTAGGAATGGTACAATGAACTCCTTGATAATCCATCAGCATGTGTAGCACTTGCCAAGGACATGGCGTTTTTCGTCAAACGGCAAGATGCAGATATTAAGACAGGTTGGACTAATTTCAATCAGACAATCTGCACGACCAACTCAGGGGTCACAAGTATTGGCCATATGGGGCGGCAGTGGCTCAGTGGTTCATGTAGGTTGTCTACAAACTAGAAGGTTGGTGGTTCAATCCCCGGTTCCACCTGACCAAGTGTCAAGGTGTCCATGAGCAAGACGCCTAACCCCAGCTGCTCCCGACGAGCTGGATGGAGCCTTGCATGGCTGACACTGCTGTCGGTGTATGAATGAGTGAGTGAATGTGAGGCAATGTGTAAAGTGCTTTGGTGGCCATTGGGTCTGTGAAAGCGCTATATAAATGCAGTCCATTTACCATTTTTACCATATGCCAATTGTACAAGCTCCCGCCCATGAACTCGACCCACTCAACACAGTAATACAGAGATGCAGGCACATTGCAACAGCATTTGGTCAATAACACGTGGTCCTTACAGTTGACGAAGCACTTTACTTTACGGCCTTTTGCTGCCCCCAGCATGATGTTGATGTTCTTATATGGACATACTCAAATGCACAAAATAACAGGTCAGTGTTTACCAGAAATATTGTAAGACAGAATGACTAACTTGTTCTGACTATTCAGTTTGTTTCCTTTACTCAATAAATGCTAAATCACAATAAAACCAGTTTATCTTTGAGCCAGTGCTGAGAAATCTGCTCATTTTGGCGTATGAGGCGGTCATCTTGGATTTTACACTCTACTGAGTTTCACGTAAGAGATACAGCTTGGCAAACAGCAAAACTGAATTCAGCAGAAAAAAATACCCCTAGAATAGTCTGTTTGCCAACTTTTACTCAAAAATGCCTGAGAATTTTTATTTAGGCACTTTTTGTGATTTCAACCTGGTCTATAGGGGGAGTAAGGGCCGCCGACAGTTTCCGATAAGCGGATGAAGGTTTCTGCGTGTTTCTGTCTTCAGCGTGGCAAAGTAATTGAATTACCTGTTTATTTCATCTGACTCTAAAAATGAAAAAGTTGAATTAATATTTGAAGATATACCTTCATCTGATGGATTTTTGAAGGCAGCATAGATGTATCCTTCTTCATCACCTTTGATATCCCAGAATCCTGTGCTTTCCAGTCTGTGACATTTGAGCTAGACAAATAAAGATGGCGTCTAAAAGTGGTGCCTGGTCATCCGTTTGTGTGTAAATGTACATTTTTGATCAATGTTTTCCACTATTAATCAGCGAGAAATTACTAGTCATTAAATATTTACTTAGTTTTCACAAAAGCTTGGTCTATTTTGCTGTAGATCATTAAACCGTTACACTGCCTCAGAAGTCTGTCCAAAATTCGTGAGGTGCCTTCGTGCGCAAACGCTGCCTGCAAAGTTGTATCATAATAGCAGCGAGGCAACAAGTCAGCTTCCTACGTTTTCTCGTAATCTCACATACTATTTAGGATAGATAGTATGAATATTGGGATGCATGGTTTGAAACATTGCACGGTGGTGACACTGATTGTTCAAAACGCTGCAAATGCAATTAAAATCCAGCCCATTATTTATTTACAGCAGTAGGCTACGCAATATTCCTGTGAAATAAGTTGTCAAATCATAAAATAAGGAAGTTAGGACTGAGTTCACTCCTATCATTCAATCATTTAAAAAGAAATTGAATTCTTGGCTGATGAGAGACATCTTCCGTGTGTTATTAGATAAAGCTGAGGGTTTATATAAGTTGGTTTATGCTGCTCAAGTGTTAGATGTACCTCCATCACTATTTAAAATGATAGACTCCAAACTTTTTTAATTTATTTGGAAGAACAAATCACACTAAAACTGAAGGAGGATTAAATATTTTGGATTTTATGACCTCTAACATGATATTTAAAATAAAATGGCTCCAGAGTTCTGTAGGTGTAATAATATTTTCTTGTGTTCCCTTCTTTAATTAAATACTTGCTTTTACTACTCACTGGAATTCGCTACTTAGAAACATTTTGATTGGAGAAAAATTTGGATGACACCTCATACGTATTACATCACAAATAAAATGAAAGAGGTTTCATTTAAAGTTTTCCATCGAGTTAACCTATATAGTTAAATCACTTATGGCATTTTAAAGTGAATATGGAAGATATTCGGTTTTTTTTTTTTTTTTTTAAATTTTCTCTAAGACTATTATTAATCATTTATTTTGGGAGTGTCCAAAGACACAAATGTTTTGGGAGGAACTCAATTATTACTTAAAATAAAAGCTATAATTATTTAAATTGTTTTAAATTTTTGTTTTTATTTATTTTTTAGAAGTTGATTTTATGCTAAAATATATATATTTTTTTATTTGATTGTGATAAAAATATTACGTTTATATTGAAAAAAGTGTTATATTGATGTTAAAATCTATAGCCTATATGGAAACAATATCCAAAAGTAAAAACTTAAAATCAATGAAAACTGTTTGTTAACACGTGAAATGCCTTTCTCATTTCTTTTTTCCACTCATGTATTTATTTAGGCCTACCCCTGAAATCTATGGTTACTCCTGTAGGCCTATGTACAATATTTTATTCTTATAAAAAAGTTTTGTTTCACAAGTGTAGATATGTTTTTCTTTATGTAACACAACATTTAGTTTTGAGAACGACGTGCAAAAGTGAAAAACGTCATCATTTTGAATTCAGATGCAGTTAATTGTTCACAAAGAATATATATATATTTTTTGTTTAGCCAAATTTAGCCTATTTTCGACTTGAATGCGTGACATAACGAATGCCTGACTAAAGATAAGCTTCCAATTCGAGGCGCATTTGAAGGCAGCAGTCAAGGTATCGTGCAGTTAAATGTCATTATAATAGGCCTACACCACTGTGTTTATTAGAGCTCTAGGGTAAACTTTTATATAAGCAATCGCAGTACAATAGTTCCTGTGTTCAAGCCACAACTCTCGGTTTCATGGCAAACTGACGAAGAAACGAAAGTGAAAATAAGCAGGAGGGCGTGATCAAATACTGACCCAAGTCATTTCGTTGACCAGAACGATCACGATGGACGAATATCCCCTCACTGTCGAGGGAGACTGGGGAAATGAACACGCTAAAAGTGTGAAAAATAAACTTCATATTCACTTTCAGAGTAAGAAGAGATCTCAGGGAGGAGACTGCGTTGTGCAATATAATGGCGAGAGCAACTCTGCTACGATTCTGTTCAAATCATCTGACAGTAAGTGCTAAACACAAAAGCATAACATGTTAACAAAATAACACGTTTTGTGTTGTTTAGTAATGTAAGCTTTAATGACACGTGAGGTAATTCCAGGTTCAATTATACAAAGTGCGATAAACTCTCACGAATTAGCCTATGCTAATCTGTGAATTTTCCGATTAGCCACCGTTGTCATCCTTTTAAAGAAAAGTAAAAGTAAGTTATGAATACTTAGCAGGCTAAACCTGACATGTGCATACTTTACAAGTAATGAATAAGAATAAATGTAAAACTCCTGCTGTCACTCATTTCCATGCATTTTAGGCTATTTTGGGACCTACTGGAAGAATTGTGAGCTTATCACGTAGGCTAACGATATAACTGTATGTTGTTGTTTTTTTGTGGTATGTTCTTTGTTTTAAAGTGTTGTGATGTATCTGACTGTGTCTGATTGTTTGTGTTTAAGTCCGAGAAGCCGTACTCCTTCAGGAAGAACACATTATTACTATTGACAGTCAGAAAATCAAGCTGAAAGTGTACAAACCCAGCGATGTTGAGGAACAGGCAGACAGCACCGGACAAAGAGTGAGTTGACATTACAAAATGCAGATTTATTAAGACCACAATGCTTTTACAATAAAACCACAGCTTAGTGGCTTAAAAAATCCAATCCTGAGATTGCAGGTAAAACAAAATTAACTAAATGATCTATAATAAAATATTAATTCAGTTATGGTTGAGACGTAGATGCATTTTAGAGTTTATATAAAGTTGGTTATCATTTCTCTATATTGTTGAAAAATGCTAGAGTAGAGAGAACAAATAACTTGTTTATTAGTGTTCGTCATAATTGTAAACAGTGTTGGGAGTAATGCAGTACAAGTAACATGAGTTTCATTATCAGATTACTTTTTTAGGTAACGCTTTAGATTAAAGTACTGTGTAATTAAGAGGAATTTACAGAGTAACTTTCGGTAATTATAGTGTACCTATAAAGTACTTGCATGTAAGTATAAGGGAACAATATGTAAAGTTCAGGGAATAAAGGGGTAACAACCAGGATAATTAAAAAAAATATTTATACTGTATAAGTATTATAGAACTAAGGGGTACTTATTCTACTATTATGATACAACAATCTTAAATTTGGGAGCAATTTAGTGAGAATATACACTGCGTACCTTTTTGTAATAATTGTGTACCAATACATACTGTATAGGCTTTTTTAAAAATACAGGGTACATATCTACGCATTTATACTTTTTTTTTTTTTTGATAGCAAAAGTGCAGATGTTTAAGTTTGGACTAACATGTTTCAAGGCAAGAAAAGCTAAGACTATTGCAATCTTTTTTAAATACTGGGAAATATCTCGTTTCATGTGGTTACAGGGTAAGTGGTGCTTGAATAATAAATAAAGGTTTCCGAGTCAGTGATATAAGATTGTGTGTATGCATTTTTATTGTAGGCTACTTACCCTGTAACTACATGGAACAAGAGGTTGACAAGCTACATGAAAGAAGAGTATCTTTCCCCAATATTTAAGCAAAAGTTTCAATAGTTTTCGTTTTCAGTGCACTTTTGTTAAAAATATTACATTTTAAAAATTACAGGGTACATATCTATGCATTTATAAAGCCTATACAGTATGTACTGGTTCACCATTATTTCAAAAAGGTACGCAGTGTATGTTCTTGCTAAATCGATCACAAATGTAAGATTGTTATATCATAATAGTGGAATAAGTAACCCTTAGTTCTATAATACTTACAATATAAATAATTTTTTAATTCTCCTGGTTGTTACCCCTTTATTCCCCAAATTTAAAATATTGTTCCCTTATACTTATATTGTTATAGGTACACTATAATTACAGAAGGTTAAGCTGTAAACTTGCTTTAATTACGCAGTGCTTTCCGGGCTGTAATCTAAAGCGTTACCCTTTGTTACTAGTAAAGTAACGCATTACTTTTAAATTTACAACAAAATATGAGTTACCTTTTAAAATAAATAACATAAGTTACTTTGACTTCACATTTATTAACTGACAGCTCTCCTGTCTCCATGTTGAGAGAAATCGGGACCAAGGTGCAGAGGCATTGTGTGGGCTGTGTGAACATGATGGTTATTAGTTTTAAACAAAATGTGTTTCCCATTTATTAACTGAGAGCTCTCCTGTCTCCATGTTGAGAGAAATCGGGACCAAGGTGCAGAGGCATTGTGTGGGCTGTGTGAACATGATGGTTATTAGTTTTAAACAAAATGTGTTTCCCATTGATTGACTGACAGCTCTCCTGTCCCCATGTTGAGAGAAATCGAGAGTGAGGTTCGGAGGTGTTGTGTGCGCTGTGAACATGACGGTTATTGTAGTTTTAGACTAAATGTGAGCATGAATTCACTCATCTCACTTGCACAAAAACAGATTCAGTATCCCTCAAATGAATACAAACTCAGAATATTCGGCAAACCTGCAATAATTAAATGACACAAATATACTTTGTATTTAATCTCATTTTATTAACCAATGTCTTTGCTGCTGGCCTTCGATGATCCAATTAAATCATATTAATAAGCAAAAATGACCAGTTAAACTTCACATTTCTTCTCCTGTGTCTTATTCTTCTGCAATCCAGAATGGCAGCACAGCTGAAAGGTTTGTTTGAGCTGCATCCTCTACTGTGCAGATGTGAATTTTCCTTTCCTTCAGCCTGAGGCTTATTCGTTCTTAAAAGGGCCTTTATATCTGCAAAAATATAAATGTTTGTTGATTTGTATTACTGTTTATTAAACAAACAAACAAGCCCAGCCTAGATGAGAAAACTTACATAAAAAGTAACACTATTAGTTACTTTCCAGTGAGTAATGCAATATTGTTATGCATTACTTTTAAAAGTTACATTCCCCAACACTGATTGTAAATGCTGTGCTTTCAGGTGGACCAGGCATGTGGATATCAGGAACCAAGTGAGTAAATCATCTGGACTTTGGTCTCTGACTGCATACATGCATGTGATCTTTTATTAGTTAGGTTCAGGGCCGCATTAAGAGCTCACTGGGCCCCGGGGCTATGAGTTACTGCAGGGCCCCCCCACCACCACTTTAGGTCACCAACTACATGAGCTAAATTTCATTATACGAGTCATTTTATTCATCTATGATATACTTCACAGTTAAGTTATATTACTTTTAATACGATTTTTTATCATATCAAAATTTTATGCCACTAAAATTTCAGAATTCTTGTGACCAATTTCAATATCACAAAAAATAATAGTACCTTAAGAAAAGAATCTCAAGCTTACTGATGACAAGAGTCACAAATAACAATAGAACAAAGGCACATAAGAAATCGACCTACTTGAAAAACTTAAAGCACTGAATAATAGTATATTGTATAAAGTAATCCAATAAACAATACATAGTTTTCACTATAAATTCAACATTCATTCTTATTAATTTTACAAAAGTGATTCAGTCAAGGGCAGTAAATTACTTATTTCTGATGTTTGATTAACATTATTGACACAATTGGCGACAGCAGCTTCTGTCACTTTAAGACCTCAGGGTCGGAACTCAAGTGCGCTGTGCAAAACCGTCTCAAGTTCACCATGGTCTCAAAACGAGCATTTACAAAACGAATTCTCTCCCGCTGCTTACTGTGCCTGGGCAGTTTAAAATAATTTGTATCCAAACCACAATGCTTAAAAACGCGTTTAAATTATAAACTTGTATCATGATGGCGCAGGAAAATGTACATATTTCTACCGGATATATTATCGCCAGCCCTTTAGGCGAAAATAGAGTTTGATCAAACACAAAAAGCATCATACATCCATCAAGTTAATAATCAAACTTACCGAAAATTTGTGGGGTCGATGATGACGCATGTGTTTTAAGAATAGTCTAATGAAGTGAAGAGTTGAGGTGATTGATTGGTTGATGCGTATATTCTAATAAGGCGCAGGCAGCCATCTATAGGCCTACGTGCAGCAGCAGGTAGATCGTTCACAAGTTAAATATAAAATAAATGTATTTGTTATATCAAATTAAAACGTGACGTTTCAATTCACCATGCCCTGCTGCCCACAGGGGTTTGATTGACAGGTGAACTGGCCAATCATAACGCCGAATACGCAATTTTGTCCGACAACAATGCTGTCAGTAGATTAACGTCGGTGGACTTGAACTTGAAAACGGTATTGTTTAAATTACTTAAATGACAATATTTGAAAGTTGAAACTTTGTTTCATATCAACAGTAAGCTGCTCTGAACTCTCTCTTGTAGTCAGTCGTAACGTTAGTCTTTGCCCCGCAATGTATTTTTCACTGTGAGTGAGAACATGATGTGCGTGACTCGTGAGACACGCCTGGCTTGTCACACAGTAACTAAAAAAGGTGGGTCTTTGCGAACGGTCACTATTTAATGATAATGATTCCATGATAATGCATGGAATATACGGCAAAGCGCCACTAAACAACAGGGCGAATTTGTGGGGGGCGTTGCGTGGTAAGGCTTTGGCAATCAGATGGCTAGTATCTACTCCACAGCCAATCACGGGCCCCCTCCTTGCTCGGGCCCCGGGGCTTTAGCCCCGCCTAGCCCTATTGTTAATGCGGCCGTGGTTAGGTTATCATGCTGAACTTGCTGATGTACTGAAAAAAATATATATTTTTCCTTTAAATCCTCCCTTGTCTGGCTTATGCTATTCTGAGCAGTGCCTGAACTTTGTATTTTGAGCACTCGTATTTTGCGTAGTTTTTGCCACAAAGACTCGCGTGCTTTAGCCCTCAGTTGTAAGTCGCTTTGGATAAAAGCGTCTGCTAAATGACTAAATGTAAATGATACAAAACATTATTTTGTTAGTTAACAGTAGTTGATACTGTTAACTGACTTTGCAAAAAAAAAATCATCATTTAATGCTTTTAATCATCCTTTTTTTACACCCTTCAATGACATTTTATAAATATGTGTCACTTTTTATTTTGCCTGAAGATCAAAGTGCCCCTCAAACTGATTTGGATGTGAAGAAGCCTCAAGAGTCAAGTGCTGTTGTCCTGGAGAACCTTCCAGATGAGTTTAAACAAGATGTTTTGACTCTTTTGGTGGAGAACATTACAAGTCTTTCTGAAAATGACTTTACCATGGAATTAATACCAGAATTAAGAAAAGCAGTTGTGACATTTAAAAATCCCAGTGGTAAGTTCATATATAACATATACATACTTTTTTTTTATCATAATGTAAGCATATTTCACTATAGTCAAACTCTTTTGCACCAACATAATGCTTAAGCTTTACGTGATGGTCTTTTTTGCCTGGAGGAAATTAGAAAACTGTAAATTGTAGAAAATTGTAGATCTAAAAATTAGATTTTTATAAAATGAACACCTTTGATATTTTGCTGGTATATATAGTTGCATGCTATTATGACTTGACAGGGGCAAGGGAAGAAGGCTTAGGTTGGGGTTGCTGTGGGTTTTTTTTTGGTCACAACATTTAAATAAGAAATATTATCGAGTCTGTAAAACACGCAAAAATCCACGAAGCACAACAAGCGTATCGGTGAGAACAATCGTTTAAACAGCATACATACCGGGATATTTGACTGCACATAACTTTTTTGACATTATTGATACTGCTTGCAATCGTAATGCAATGGACCGGTATATGGGACATAAAAATGAAAAATAAAAAATAAATTTGCAGTGTTTTAGTTATTTTTAACGTTTCTTGAGTGAGCCATGGTTTAAAAGAAGGCTTTCTAACTTTTTTGAACCAGAAGTGCCTTGAATCTTTTTTCTATAAATACAAGTTTGGAACCCAACCAAAGAGCAGCTTCTGGGTCCTTCCAGCAAGCATCGCTCCAAGATGTTTTCCTTGATATGTAAATAACACTTTTAAAAAAAATAGCCCACTTAAAAAGTGTTTATCACAAATAAATTACCAAATGCTAAAAATTAATAAATGTAAATGAACAAAAATTTGCATTGAATTTACAATTCTGTGAAAACAGTGTTCTGCAGCACCTGTACTTCCCGTGCCCCTGATCAAATGCATCCGGCACATTCTGTAAACTATCATTTCTGACAGATGGAGGAAATTTCCTTGAGGACAGCAAAACGCATAAAAAGTTCAAGAAGAATAATCTGAGGGCCCATGCACTGGAGAGAAGCACATGTGTGCGGGTGGAGAATCTTCCAGCTGAAGCCAACAACAACAAGATGCTGCTGGAGCTTTATTTTGAGAAATGGGGTGGTCCAGTAGAGGAAGTTATCACAATTCCAGCAGAACAAGCAGCCATTATTACCTTTCAGGAGGAAGAAGGTATAGTTCAAGTTCAATTGCTGGTATTCTTTGCTGTTACAGTTCTGGATTTGGTTACATTTATTTACCTCATTTTGACAATATCATTGCATTTATTCATTGTACCTGCAACTTTCATTCTTTACAGCAAAGGAGAAAGTCTTGAAGCAAGAGAATAACATCTGTGAAGTTCCAGTCAAGATATATCCCTACTTTAAATCACTGGATACAGTCTTGTATGGTGGCAACAGACCACATTTGAAGCTGCCTGAACCCATTACAGTCAGTGTACATCCTGCCATCAGGAAGTTCCTCCTTAAGAAAGGGGAGATTTCCTCTATTAAAGACCAGATGAGCTCACACTTCTGCCAAATAAACATGGACAAACCTGAAGCTTTGCTCAGTCCTGATCCAGCATTACTGAAACAGAAAGGAGTTACCAGAAGACACATTGATGGCTGGAATAAGAATGCCTGTGATGCCTTCAAAAAAATAATCTCAAACTACACAACGTCTGAGTGGCCGGTGTCACACCCCTTGTGGTCTAAAGTGGAGAGTGATGTAAAGGAATTGGTGAAAGATAAGGTTTTCACAGATATGGATGCCTCTAAAGGTGTACTGACACTGGCGGGAATGACCCATGAGATAACTGGACTGAAGCCCATCATGGAGAAAATTATAGAGAGAGCAACAAATCAATTAGAGAGAGAGAAGAACAGTGTGACAGAGCATATGGAGATTTCTCCTGCCATGTACTCTCTGCTTTTACAAGATGGCCTGAAAAGTGCTGTTTCTCCACAAATGCACATTGACTACGAAAAAACAATAAACAGCTTAGTTTTAGCAGGTCTTCATACAGATATCATCATGTTCAAGAATTGGGTCCTTGAGAAGAAATTAAACATGAAACGGAAGCCCTTAAAGATTGACCGTTCAGTCCTGGAGTTCCTGAGATCAGTGAACTGTGATGAAATGTCCACAGATCTCTTTATATCTCATGGAATAACTGCTGTCTACACAATCGAGAATGAAGATGTTGTTGTGATTGGGAGCACAGAAAAAGCACTTGTTGAGGCAGAGAAGAGGGTGAATATGGTTCTTGCATCCAAAGACCTCATTATAGAAGATCAGGGTGTCCTTCAAATGCCAGAGTGGCAGGATCTCAAAAAACAATTGCAAGAACTGTTCAATACTTCCAAAAAGACATCTGTGTGTTTAAACTTTTCTAAACAAAAAGACAAAATAATAGTGACTGGATTCAGAGACCCAGTGATGGAGGTCAGTGATAACTTGGGACGTTTCATTGTAGAACACACTAGAATTGAAGAAACTGTTCGTGTCAAATCACATGCTGCAGTTGAATTCATAAAAGACAGAAAATCACAAGACTGGCAGCATTTAATGAAGCCTGAGCAGGTGAAAGTGAATTTTGATTCAAAGAGACCCTGGATCAAACTGTCTGGAGAGCGTATATTTGTCCAGCCAGTTATGACTGTCTTTAAAAGGTTGGCAGATGCTCTCTTCACAGACACACACATCATTAAAAAGGCAGGAGCAAAGAAGTACTTCAAGGAACAGGGTAAAATGATGCTCTCGATGCTGTTGAAGGATAAAAGATATGTGGTGGTGCTCCAGGAAGATGACATGCTGGAAGAGGAGGAGGTTGAATTTTCTAAAAGGAGTTTTAAAGATTTTGGCCAGGTCTCTTGTGAAGTTCGAACGCCAGGTGGAATAACTGTTACTGTCAGGATGGCAGACATTTGCAAGCTCAGTGTTGATGCTGTGGTCAATGCTGCTAATGAAGATCTGATGCACAGTGGTGGTGTAGCTTTCGCACTTCTACAAGCTGCCGGACCATGTCTACAGCAATACTCGGACCACTACATAAAAGTAAATGGGCCTCTGAAACCTGGAGATGCCATCATCACTGAAGCTGGTCGTCTTCCCTGTAAATATGTGGTACACGCTGTTGGACCTCGCTTCAGCGATTCAGACCGACGAACCACCGTGCAACGCCTGAGACATGCTGTGAGGGAAAGCTTGAACCAGGCGTCGAGCAAAAACTGCTCCTCTATTGCAATTCCAGTTATTAGTTCAGGGATATTTGGTTGTCCTCTTGAACTTTGCACAGAATCAATCGCCAAGGAAGTGTGTGAGTACATTGAAGATCATAACCGGAGTAGCACATTAACTGAGATTCACTTGGTTGACAATAATGGCAGCAATGTAAAAGCCATGGCTGAAGCTGTCAGAAAGGAGTTTGCTGCTTATAACCCCAAAATGACTTTCCCTCAGCAAAACAAACCTCTTGGGTACAGTAACTATGGACAAGGCTCTCGTGGTCGTGGTCGTGAAAACTATGACCAAAGAAACCGTGAGTTTGAAGGTTCCAATGGCCGGGGTAATAGATACTTTGAAGGAAAAGCGCACTCAGGCTCTGGTGACAGATCTGATAAATCTGAAAAGTTGAGTGTTCTTAAGACCAAAACTACAAAAGAGGAACTAAAAATCAATCTGAGCGAAGGGAACATCCAGGATGCACGTGTAAGTGAATTCTAGATTATTTGTTACTTATAAAAACAGAAAAATAGTTTTTAATAAGCAATTCCAAGAGGGTCCTCGCACCATCTATGCTCTGTGCTGCTAATCCCTGATTAGTCTTTTTTTTTTTACTGGATGCCAGTATAAATATCTAAAAATCTTTAAAGAAATGACCTTAGAAGATATTACACTGCATAAAATATTATTTTCCCTTATGTTCAGAAATGACTTATTAGTTTCTCCTGCAGGCTGATATCATTGTAAACACTATGTCGGAGGACTTGGACCTCAGTAAAGGTGCCGTCTCCAAAGCACTCCTTCAGACTGCTGGCTATCAGCTCCAGTCAGAAATCCACAGAGCTGCTCACTCAAACAATCTGAATTATGGTGAAATGGTCATAACAGATGGTTATAATCTGAATTGTTCCAAAGTCTTCCATGTAGTTTGCCCAATGTGGAACGGTGGAGAAGACTCGGCAGATAGGGTGAGACATACTTTAGCTCAAGTTATATTTATGGACCAAAGAGGACCAGGCCTGGGACATTTTAAGTTGTTATTTGATTGTTTATTAGCTGCATTCTTGCCAGCTGCCACAATGTGTATACTTATCTTTTAGTTAATAATTTTTTATGTTGAATTTAAATTAACATTATTTATTAACAGTATCTGCTGGCTGATTGTAAATTGTTAAATGAACAATGCAAATGTGCCTCATATATAGGCTTTACTTGTTTACTTAAATTGTACCTTTTTTAAAGATCATAACAGATGTGTTTATTCAAATTTTAAAAGGTACTCATTCAGATCATTAGAGATTGCCTGAAAAAAGCAGATACCTGGAGAATGGCTTCAGTCGTCTTCCCAGCTATCGGCACTGGGAATCTTGGCTTTCCTAAAGATCTGGTGGCCAGAATCATGCTGACAGAGTTCCAGGAATTTAACTGTACAAATCTCCGAGAGGTAACTGTGATCGTGCACCCTTCTGACAAAGAGAGCATTCAGGTGAGTGAAGGAAAAATAGATTCAAGAACCATAAAACACAAAATATATTTTTTTAAATATCAAAATATGTTGTTGTTGTTGTTGTTGTTAAACCACTGTTTTTTGTTTACATTTTGATAATCTACCATAGTTGCTCATATTAATGTTGTCTTGTATATTTCTGTGCTTTATCTATTAGTGCTTTACCAGCATCTTTAGAAATAAGATCCAGGGTCCCATCACAAAAGCAGCACATCAACATTTCATGCCTATAAAAAATATTTCTGGCAAGTCAGCCCAGACCTCTGGTAACTTTCTTATCTGATGTCCGTCCCACTTATTTATATTGTTGATTTATTCTGATAATTATAGCTAATTTAGTATTCAACCAAATTATAAAACCAGATGTTGACTAGTGGTCAATAGTACAAGTTTTAACATACATGACAAACTGATTGGTTTGTATGTAAGAATATTTTCAATTTGTAAGCAAAAGTTAATTTATCAATTAATATAGAGCAGTTAAATTGTGTAATCAGGTTAGCTTTGAGATTTTTCCATACATCTCTGCGTTTTATTATTTTCTTATAATTAGGGCTTGTTGGCAGAGTCTCCTCTCCCTCTCTTGGGGTGCACACTATGCAGTTGGGTCGAGTGACTCTGGAGGTTTCATCAGGAGATATAACTAAAGAAAAAACTGATGCAATTGTCAACTCCTCAAATAAGACATTTTCTCTGAAAGCAGGTTAATCCAACTTAATTTCAGTATCATTTAGAATTAATGTCACATACAATTGAAGAAGAGAATTACAATGTAACTGCCAATTTCTCTTGGTAATCCAGGAGTATCAAAGGCCATTTTAGACGCCGCTGGATTACAAGTGGAAAATGAATGTTTACAGATTGGTTTGTAGTCATTCAAATTGTATATTTTATCTTTCAGATTTATACGTCAACAGTGATCGAATGAACTTTATATACTATTGGTAAACCCATTTTTTTCCGATAGTGGGATCATCAAACATGCAGCAAACAGAGATTGTGACCTCAGCCGGGCTCCTGCCATGTGGAAACATCATCCATATTATTGGTCGCAATGGTCCATCTGACATTAAGGATGTCGTTTTTTCTGTTCTGAAGTTGTGCGAATCACGCCAAATTACTTCTGTTGCCTTCCCAGCTCTTGGCACTGGTAAGACTCTCTGTCTGGTCTTATGTTTATACAGTAGTTGCAGTACATTGCTGATTATTTGCTTTTTTTTTGGTAAATCTATCTGTAACCCTTTAGGTCAGGGTGGTGCAAAACCAGCTGATGTTGCAGATGCAATGGTTGATGCAGTTGTTGACTTTGTGAAGAAAAAGAAACCAGTTCATGTAAAGTTTGTGAAGTTTCTCATATTCCAGACGAACATGTTGGCAGACTTCCACCAAAGCATGGTCAGAAGATCTGGTGAAAAGGTAGAGGAGGATAAAGGTCTGTTCACCAAAATTAAAGGTCAGTAAACAGTAATACAAAGAATGCTAATCCTATCCATTCTTGTTTTTCTTAACGCAGTAATTAATTCCTCTGTTTCTTTCCAACAAATATGTACCTTAAAAAAAAAGACTTTTTTATGGGGGAAAGTTCAGAATCTCCCTCAAATGAAGAGTTTGTGATGGTGGGTGAGGAAATTGAGCCAGCTGTGTTCCAGCTGTGTGGAGAGACACCAGAGGACCTGAAGGAAGCCAGAGACGTGATCAACAGCTTGATAGTACGGGAGCATTTGACCGTCCCAATCTGTGATCCAGCCATTGCTCATTTCACAAAGGAGGATGTAGAAACACTGAACGGTATGCAGAGGGAGTTCACAGTCAGTGTCCAACTCGAGAAGAAAGGCCAAGACTCTGTCGTCACATTGGAGGGACTGACAAGAGACGTTCACAGTGCAGAGAGTCGTATTCGGGACATGATCCGCAAGGTGGAAAGGAATGAAAACCAAAAACGTGAGGCATTTATGATCAGCAGTGTAGTCAAGTGGCAATATCAGGAGAATGGACGCAGCATCATAAACTTTGATACGTTAACTAATTATGACCTGGAAAAGGCCTTTCAGAACCGGCAGCCTTCAGTGAGAATCAAGATTAATCATGATGAATATGATGCCGATTTAGATCGAAAAATGGCCACAAGAGGGAGAATGAGGATTGAACTGAACAGAGTAGATCTGCAAGGTGTGAATATTTTATAATTTAGACAATTATCCAAAGGCCATCATGTACAAAGATTTGTTATTCATGTTTTTGTTATTTTTGTCCATAGATGCAGCTGCAGCTCGAAGTTCTTTGCCTTCACACTGGGAGGACATGAAAGGAAATCCTGTTGTTCTTGTAAAACTCACATCAGGCTCGACTGAATATAAAGAAGTCGAGAAAGAGTTCAGAAGAACCCGACTACGTTCTAACATCATTGAAGTAAGACTAGACTAAAGAGAAGGAGGAATTTATATTGATTAGTTTTGTAATTTAGCACTGGTGTAATAGTAATATTTTATTAAGCTGAATGTTTATTCTTGTCTTTAGATTGAAAGAGTTCAGAACAGCACACTTTGGAGAAACTACATGATCAAAAAGGAAGAACTGGAAGACAAAAACAAGCACAAAAACAATGAACAGCGTCTCTTCCATGGCACTGGTCCTGATAAGACAGATCAGATCAACCACCACGGCTTCAATCGCAGCTATGCTGGGGCACATGGTATTAGTCTGTAACAAAGTTCAGTTTAGGGAAGCAGGAGGCGGGGACCGCCAAACATTAAACGTAAACTTTAATATAAAATAAACATAAATAACAAAATGAAAAGAGTGATAGGTTTCAAGAATGCAGCTCATATAAACAATCAAATAACAACTTAAAATGTCCTGGGCCTGGTCCTCTTTCACCCTTCACTGTCCTCACTCCGCTCCCATGGCTCTCGGCCCCGCCCTGCTCACCACAGTGTTAAATTCAGCATAAACTTTATTTGTACTTGTATCAATTTGTCTTTAAAACCAACATTCTATTGCTCTTGTTCTGTTTTTTAGGAGCCATGTATGGGAATGGGACATATTTTGCTGTTGACCCGAGTTACTCAGCCCAAGGCTACTCAAGTCCTGATGTCAACGGACATAAACGCATGTATCTCGCCAGGGTGCTTGTCGGTGATTTCACTCAAGGAAAACGAGGCCTTCCTGTTCCCCCAGCGAAGAGCACCAATAGTGCTGATCTGTATAACAGTGTGACTGACAACATCAACAACCCAACCATGTTTGTGATCTTCAATGATGTACAGGCTTACCCAGAATACCTCATCACCTTCCAGTAGTGATTTGTTGTTGTTGCTGTTATTTTTATTAGGTTGAACTGAGTGATATATAACGTGTAAAATATTTACTTGCAGGCATTACAGAAATGATTGCAATAATCTTTGCTGTGGCAAATGAGAATGAGGGAAAAAATTAGAGGACAGTAATTTAATCCTTAGAAAGGCTTTGTCCAAACCTAAGAACATTCAGATATTTCTAATTTTGGTTTAATCTTATGGTTCTCTTTTAATCTTCAGATTAATCAGCAACAGATTTGTTTTTATCCTGCTAATTTAGCACATTAAAAAGCCAATAAGGAAAAGAGTTTGTGCTGAACATTTCTGTTTTACATTGGATTTGAAACATTGATTCAAATTATATTATGGAACTGTAATAAAAGTTTTGACTGAAATACCATTAGCAAATAAATCATTATTTTAAACATTTAAAATAAGTCTCATTTTACAGTATGTCACTGTTTACATCTCTGTATAATGTAACAGACTCACATTTTGAATATCTATGTCAGCGTTTGTAAATTGTTGAATCTGGTAATATAATTCAAGAGTCATTGCAGGCCAGTCTTATCTTCATTTTGGGATTCTAGCATACTTAATGTTAGGATACTCCATTCACTGCAGTTAATCTCTGGAAGTGTGAAACGAGTCCTGGTCTCCAATGCATGTTTTCGTTGTATAGCTATGAGTCTGTTTCTTTTAGAAGGGCTGAACAAAAGGCAAATCCCCCTGATAGCTGCGTCTACAGCAGAGCAGCTGTGCGCATGCCCGACGGAAATCTCGGTTCAAGGCTGGGTAGAGAATGGGGTTCAGTGCAGAGTTGAGGTATCCCAACCAAAGAACGATAGAGTGAGTCAATTTGTTCGGATGGGTCTCTGCCCACATTCCCATGTATGTGAAGTAGGTAAAATAGGGGAACCAGCAAATGACAAAAGCACCAAGCACTGCAGCCAGAGTCACTGTGGCTTTGTGTTCCCGCGCAGTGGCAACTGCATTGGCAGCCTGAGCAAAGGATGGAGTGGTTGCCCGTATACGACGCACCTAAAAGTGAGACATGAAGAGAGAGTGAGAAAGGGAACAGAGAATTTTTTTTTTTTTTTTTTTTTTTTTTTTTTTTTTGGGTGGATGCAATGAGATATTTGTTATGATAGTTATGAGGTGGGTCAATGACAAATAAGAGTGTCCACAAAAAAATTGTGTTGGGGTGTGCCTTTTTTTATTTTTAGGAATGCACTCTTTGTAGACATATTTCTGTCATATTGAGTTAAAAAAAATTAATACCAACAAAATGTTAAAATTAGACTACTGTAACCATAAAAAAACCTAAACATTTAAAATGCAAATTGCATAATTTATACACTTATTTTACAACACAAAAAGGTCAAATTATATGCTATTTTAATAAAAATTATGATCTTGATTTTGATCTCTCCATAATGTCATTTTCTCTTTTTTATGCGTGCTTCTACACACTGCTCTGCATCACACAACCTTATTCTAAATATTAAGCAATGCAACTTTTTGTTGTTGTAATCATTTATAAGAAGAGTATGCCAAGCTCCTTAATAAGGTTTTCTTTTCAATAATTTAACTCTTTTAATATATATATTTTTCTTCATTTATAATATCATGGCAGTTGTATCACCCTGAATAATTATAAAATACTTTGTAAAAAAAAAAATATATATATATTTTCTTCAGATTCCCAACCTGTCCTGCATTAACTCTACTAAGTTTGGGAAGGAGCTATCTGTTTTGCTTTTGACCAACCAATAGTAGGTCAGCTGACATTTTTATTTTACTTTATTCTTATACCCTCACACAAATGCAAAATTAATTTTAATTCAGAAATTAAAAACATGTCCATCATAGAAGAGGTGTAGTTTGAAATGAATAAATAGGCCTACATCGGGACACACTTGTCATGTCATTGACCCAAGTGAAGAAAATTACCTGCTCACGTGCAACACAAAATATACGATGGTACATTCCACACATGACCAGCAGAGGGAGATAGAAGATTCCAAATGCTTTCAGAAGCACATACTTATTATTCCATTCATAGCGGCAAGTCCTGCCTTCCTCTCCTTCATCCCACATGACCCAGTCCAGGTTTTGCACTCTGAAGTTAGGTGTGTTCCAGCCTAGGTTGATAGACACAAAGGACGCAGCCAGAGAGCACGTCCAGATTGCAGTCAGAGTGATCGCCACCCGTCTAGGTGTGACCCTCCTGGGATAGCAGAGCGGGCTGGTAATTGCAAGATAGCGATCAACACTAATGGCTAGTAGAGTGAGGATTGAAGCACTGCAGAGCATCACATCCAAAGAGATGTAGATGTTGCAAAAAACACCTCCGAGAGGCCATCTCCCATTGCGTAATTCCAGCATGGCAGAGAGCGGCATTACCAGCAAACCCAGCAGCAAGTCTGTCACAGCCAGTGATAGTATAAAACAGCTACTAATCTGGTGCAGACGCCGACTGGTGGCTACAGCCAGACAAACCAGTACGTTTCCACAAATGGTCAGAGCAATGAAGACCACCAGTACCACCCAGCGCAGGGCAGCGAACGCCATTGTTAGCTGCTGAAGCAGGAAAGCTTGGAGATTTTTGTCCTCGTATGTCAAAGTGATATCCAAACTAGTTTAGTCAGGACTCCACGTGTCATCTGTTTTTCTCAAACATTTACATTGGGTGCTGTAAAACTGCCATAACATTAACATCTACGGCCACTGCTCAGATATCAGCCCAGGTCAATTCCTACAAGAAAAAAAGAACATGGTTACAGATAAACGCCATTTGGGTAATTCATTTAGAACCTTTAGTAAAAGTGAAAGGTGTAATACTTCAAATGTTACAGTACTTAATCCCATCCCAGTTTAAAGGGCTGCAGGTTAATTTGAAAAGTATAACTCGGTGGCGCTATCTAAACATTTGCTTCACATTCCCGACCTGCTCTGCATTAACTCTACCAATGGTGTGAATTTGGGAAAGGGTGAATCAAGGAAAGGTTGATCAATCTATCCGATTGATCAACCAATAGTAGGCGGGAGCATGTTTAGAAACATTATTTGAAAACAATATTTATTTTTGACTCAATAGATGGTAGACATTTTCTCCCTGGTTTCACTGACAAGGCTTAAGATTAGTCCCAGACTAAATGACATGTTTGAGCTGTTTTAACTGAAAGCGACTTGCACTGACATATCTCAAAACATTTCAGTGCCGTGTGTTTTGTCTCAAGATTCACACCAGTAATGTTATTTTTTCAAAGGCATGTTTATAAAAGCTACCTAAATGTCCTAATTGAACTAACTGGCCTAATCATGGCTTAATCTAAGCCCTGTATGTGAAACCTGACTCACATCAGGTTATTGAAACCTAGGCTTATTGGAAAAACCAACACATTCTCATCCCAAGGCGTCATCTAACTGACACTTTTGACCATGCGTCAACATGCTGACGCACATGGTACCCTTTAAGCGTCAATATGAGACGCTCATCCTCGGGCGTCATCTGACTGATGCTTTTGACCATGCGTCTAAATCCGACGCACATGGCACCCTTTAGCGTCAGTTAGATGACGCTTCCGTTATAGGTAGGTTCAGGTCTGGGGTAGGGTTAGACCACTAGGAGGCGCGTCTCAAATTGACGCTTACGGGGTACCATGTGCGTCGGCATGTTGACGCATGGTCAAAAGCGTCAGTTAGATGACGCCTTGGGATGAGAACGGGCTGGAAAAACATGTCTCTACCTAGTGATGGATATTTAAAAAATGCTTTTTGTGAAGCATTGAAAATTCTGAAAATCATTTGTTTCGAGTCATTAGCATGTGATTCCAGGTTAGGGTATTGGGACTTATCTGTTGTAGCATTAGGAGTGTCGCGCAGACTGATCGGCACCTAACAAAAGCAATGGATTTTGGTTAGAAAGTTTGTCTGACTTTGGTCATGTACTATCAAAGTAATGCAAGAGCAAGATGATTCCAGCCACCTGGGTCAGGCGCTGCAGTTGTCCCAAATTGGTTGCACAGCTGTTTCACGATTGGCTGGATTCACCGAAGACAATGATCACATGTGTTTCGTGGTTTACAGCTGATGCTCACAAATTCACTTTTCATGTAACCTTAATGTTGTGTCATGCTTATCAAAAGAACAGGAATGAAAAATAGACCCACTTTATTGGTATTTAAATATTATAGGCTTATGTTGAACTTTAGGGTAGACCGGGGACAGTTGCAACAGGGGATGGTTGCAACATGTAATTTTTCTCTAATCAGAAACAAGTGATGACACTCACACAGCGACAGGCTCAGTAGGATTCCCCCCTCCCCCCACCTTGCAGAGAAAAATCAAGGACATTCCTGAGCTGCTCCAGGATTTATTGAAGAAAAACTGTTTTTAAGGCATGAAATTATTTATTTTATTGAGCTTTGTTTTTGTTAAACTGTTGTCACTGGTTTTGTGATTCAGCTCAAACTTATATGGTTTAAATGAGTGATATGTTAACTTTAAGCTAGTAGCCTATGGTTAGCATGTATTAAGGTCACCTTGTTTAGCTAGCACATGAGGTTTTTCCATGGCTGACAGGAACGGGGACACCCGTACAATGCATAAATATAAAAACAGACCACATAGCAGTATTTTTAACATGTTTTCATAAGTTTTTACTTGTGGTGGACATGAGGACATGAGGCTAATGTTTATGGTCATGTGTGCAGAGATGTCTATGACCATGTGTTGGTGGAACTGTATGTTTATGTGCAGAGGAGGACACTAGTTTAATTATCTAAAAGTATAAAAAATGTTTTACATGACAATAGGCTAAATAAAAGGTAATTGCCTCACAAATTGTTCCATTCTTCCTATGTCACTAAAAGCCTACTGTATTTTATATCAATTTGAATATTTGACATCTGCACATAAGGCCTATACTCATCTAGACAAATCTATAATGATCATCTAATCAAAGATGATGAAGAAATAACACGGTATTATTATAACTTACATTTTTGATAATAATAATTTTGCTAACACTGACATATATTGTAATATATTGTATTTGTAACATGTTGCAACCGTCCCCAAACAATGTTGCAACTGTCCTCGGGCCCGGGGTCAGTTGCAACATCTGACTCCTTACATTTAAATGCAAATTGTGAAAAAATTTGATTCTGTAATTATGTTTAAATGGTTTAGACTATTAACAGACAGATGTAAGTTTATTGTATTTAAACAATTGGTTTGTCTAATCCAAACCGTCTAGCTGTGTAACAGGGCCAAATGCAAAAAGTGTTGCAACTGTCCCCGGTCTCCCCTAATCTAGTACAAATTGGCTCTGTATTAAGCAGTACATAAAGTATTGAATAAAAAGTGTTCCTGTTCCTTCATGAAACCATCTGAAAGGTATGTGTATTCAACACGATCTCATGAAAGTGCGTATATATAGCACAAATTTAATTTCTCGTACCATTTATACGGCAAAAATTGTTTTTGCATGCCAATGATACGCACTGTAAACCCCTTGGGTAGGATTAGGGGTGTGGAGTGCGTGTGTATTACACATAGACAGTAAAAGAAATGGACACCCCATAGACTTCAACGGAGAAAAGTGAAGACAATTAGAAGCACTCACTTCCTGATTGCCAAGAGTAACGTTACTGCGCAGGCTCAAACTGAGCTTGACGACGTAGATGTGACGTGAGCAACCTGTACGTCTTCTAGTAGCTGTGCCAAGAGGAATCTGAATCATTCCCTTCCGAATCTTGCAGAGACGGAGATCGTGAGTATTAGCTGTCCATGAGCTAACAGCAGGAGCAACTTTATGACTCTCTATGGGCTTCTCCCTTGACTTTATGCCTCCACGTCCCCCCGTTTGCCCGCGAGCTTCTTCTCCTGTCTATACGGTAATTTCTCTACTATGCGACAGAGAGTCGCGTGTTATGACGCAATCATTAGCCTATTTTTACAAAAACTGCTTCTACGCGTCCATAACGTAAGATACAAGGTAATGGAGCCTTTTATACATTGTCGTGTTTCTTTAGAAATAAACAATGGACAAATGGAGTATTTAAATGCCTCAGATGTAAAATTATTCGCTGTCAAAGTGATGCCAAAATGAATGGGAGTCAATGGAATGCTAACAGCAGGTGAAGGCTTGGGAGCCAATGGCGGCCCCCGGGGAGACTTCAGTTTCCGGCTGATGGATTACCCTCTTGGTATTACACACCGTAAAGTGCGTATCATATGCACGCGTAAACGTCTCGGTTACATATGGTAACCCTCGTTCCCTGAGGGAGGGAACGGAGACATAGGTCATGACTGACCAATAGGAATCTCGCTAGAGAGGCCAACCTACTTCGAGTGAAACGAAAACGAAACAAAGGATTTTCCACCCGGCCCTCTTCTGAGGGAGGGAGCGATGCGGTATTCGTCTCCTGGAGAGCAGTCCCTTCCATCTCTGGGTCGCCCGTCCTAGGGCCGCTTACCCCTGACTTTGCCGCCCTTCTTGGCGGGGGCCTGGACGGGCGGGATGCCCTGCCTGCGACTGGCTCCCCGGCGCCGCTTAGGTGGAGGCTGCTGCTGCGGCGCGGGAGCAGGGGCAGATGCAGGAGGACACCCTCGGCGACGAGCAGACTGAGGGGCCGCAGGCGGTGGGGTGGAGGCAGCAGCTGGCCGCCGCGGCAGGATATGTCTGATGGCCTCAGTCTGCTTTTGTACAGCCGAGAACTGCTGGGCGAAGTTCCCGACCGCGTCGCCGAAGAGGCCGGTCTGGGACAAAGGGGAGTTGAGAAACCGGAGCTTGTCGGACTCCCTCATGTCATCCAGACACGGCCAGAGATGGCGTTCCTGGACCACCAGGGTGGACATCGCACGACCCACCGACCGCGCGGTCACCCTCGTCGCACGAAGCGCGAGGTCCGTCGCGATACGAAGTTCCTGAAGACTGGATCGTGACCACCCTCGTGCAGGTCCTTCAGTGCCTTGGCCTGATGGACCTGCAGCAACACCATGGCGTGCATGGCAGAGGCAGCTTCCCCACAGGCCTTGTAAGCCTTGCCGGTTAAATCCGACGAGTACTTACAGGCCCGGGAAGGGAGACACGGTTCTCCACGCCAAGTGGAGTTAGGGCACAGTTGCATAGCAACGGCCCGTTCCACTGGCGGGATACGCGTGTATCCCTTAGCCGCCTCGCCATCAAGATGTCCTCAGTGGTGAGGGAGGAGTTCCCTCAAAGTCATGTGATTTCAGTTCACGAGGCTTTGTTTCATGACTGTTTCAAAACATTTTGAAATTTTAATTGGTCACCACTAGGGAACTATATCTGTGATCCACTGAACAATATGCACTCACCGGCCACTTTATTAGGTACACCTGTCCAACTGCTCGTTAACACTTAATTTCTAAGCAGCCAATCACATGGCGGCAACTCAGTGCATTTAGGCATGTAGACATGGTCAAGACAATCTCCTGCAGTTCAAACCGAGCATCAGTATGGGGAAGAAAGTTGATTTGAGTGACTTTGAACGTGGCATGATTGTTGGTGCCAGAAGGGCTGGTCTGAGTATTTCAGAAACTGCTAATCTACTGGGATTTTCACGCACAACCATCTCTAGGGTTTACAGAGAATGGTCCGAAAAAGAAAAAACATCCAGTGAGCGGCAGTTCTGTGGGCGGAAATGCCTTGTTGATGCCAGAGGTCAGAGGAGAATGGCCAGACTGGTTCGAGCTGATAGAAGGGCAACAGTGACTG